CTCTATATTGTCGCTATGTAACGATTACGATTTACATAAGGGGGTTTTGAATAAAATGTCCTGGTAGTTTTATATAAGGGTCTGTTCCCAGCTATTGATAATGATCCGACTTTTGTCTATATCGTTGATGTCACACTATGATTTTTCTACTGCTTATTTTTTCCTTGTTTCTAGCTATCGTCCATCTATATGCTGATAGCAAACTTTCCATACAGATATGCGCCCTTATTATCTTATGGAACTTTTGCTCTTTCACACTTTCATTAAAAGTAATAATCTATTACCGGTTAGTGTTAGTCTGGTTGCTTTGTTTTCAGTAATCTTTGGTATTAACTATAAATTTCCTTTTGGCTGAACGGAAACATCGGATCATGTATAGTTTTACCGCCACAGCTATTATGACTAATAATACTACAAGTCCAACCTGCACTACTATTACAGGCAAAAGGACATCAATGACCTGAGTGTCCGAGGGCGTTTTGACATCAGTTAACGTTCAATTACTACAAACAACACTTGCATCTTGATAGTGCGAGCAACCATAAGATGGACAGTGTGGACAGTCCAGCAGAGATTCTTCGTTCCCCTCGCAGTAAACATAGCTTCTTTGGGTAGGACCGGAGCCTCGCCCGTAAGCTGCACCTCGAGGTGCAGAGGTTGCCTTTTTGAAACCGAGCTGACGGCAAACGACCTTTGCATCATTGAGGTCCCAGGAATGGTCACAAACCGTACCCCATCGGCCTCCAATTAAAACCTCAACGCGGCCGTAGTTGTGGGATCCACCGGCTAACCGAATGATGGAAGAACCATGTGTACACTTCACACTGGCGTCTCGTGCATGAGTGCAGTCATGCTTTCCCCATCCTCGATGCCTGCAATCGTGGAGATATTTCTCACTCCCTGAGCAAGCCAAATCGTCAAGCCAGATTGGCCCGCTCCCTTGGCCATGATAAGCGCTCCCATAAGCCTGTAGGGCTTTTTTGAAGCCGAGCTGTCTGCATATCACGTTAGCGTCGGTAAGGTCCCAAGCGTCATCACAGATGGTCCCCCATTTGCCATCGTAGAAAACCTCTACTCTACCAGTTGATGCGCTGGTGCTATTTATACGAACGCTTCCATCAGTAATTGCTGACAAGAAAAACACATCATTAATTTTTGGGGGTGGAAACAGAATGAATAAACTCAGGATTTAACGATAATTTTTAAGATTGTTTGCCTCCCTTTCTACCCTTATTTTTGAAATCATTACTGTTATGGTTTTTTTTTTTTTTAGATCATTCAATATATTTTTACAACTTTTCCTCGAGGGGGCATCATTTCAAATATTCTGCGAACATTCCCCATGGTTATTTTACGCGTAATTAATTTTTCCCTTGAATTTTTTTTTTTTTTTGACAGTTTTGACGGCATTGCGCACGTCGAAAGATAACAAAATTATCTCTGTGGAACCCAGTTCATGAAATCATCGTTTGACAATAAAGTCCTAGTATTAAATTTGGATGCAAAAGAGTGCCGGTGAATAAGGTGACAACGCTTTCCATTCGATTGCCTTAAAAGCGAAGTTTCTGAGAGCACAAAATTTACGATTTACCACCAAGATCCAAAAGTTAAGTATTCTTATTGGTACACATACGTTTTTTTAATCATTAATAGCTATTTTATTTTGTGTGAACACAATATT